ACTTTGTAACACGTTTTACCGGTAATACATCTATAACTTTGTAACACGTGTTTACTTGTAATACATGTATAACTTTGTAACACGTTTTACTGGTAATACATCTATAACTTTGTAACACGTTTTACTGGTAATACATCTATAACTTTGTAACACGTTTTACTGGTAATACATGTATAACTTTGTAACACGTTTTCCTGGTAAAACATCTATAACTTTGTAACACGTTTTACTGGTAATACATGTTTAACTTTGTAACACGTTTTACTGATAATACATGTATAACTGTGCAGTGAGAGCCTAACTATGGTCATAAGAATCTGTTAAGAAAAAAGATAGAACGTTTCATTGCATTTCAATATTTTATTAAATCAAGTGATTTAATGAGAATTGGGCAACAGGCTTTGCCTATTCAAGCTGTCTCCCTGGGGTACATACATTTCAAACAATAACAGATTTATAATTTAGACATTAACATATTAGCGCTAGGTCGGAACATTAAATAGTATTTTTTTTAATAAATATTCATAGTTCAAATAGATGGCTACTAAAAATACACGCTAATATTTATAATATGTACACACACATATATATATAAACATATACACACATATATATAATCCAGGTCAACATGCATATGCTTACGATGAAAGTAAAATATCAACATTTAACAAATATACAAGAAAAAGCATTTTAATTACTTTATAGCAGAACAAATAGCCAATATTTTCAGTATAAGTTAAATTCTATAATTATATAAACCAGTCCCCGAACACCACTCCCACTCCGTGATATCAATTATAACTGGGCAGCACTAAAATGTCCATAGTACAACCACTGTGTGTTTACCCAGTCATTGAATGTTCCAGAGCAGGAGCCATGCTGAGGGAATAGGTACTCATAAACATATACATACAGACATGTAAACACTGGATCAAAGTATCATCACATCTAGCACTGGTGCAAGATCCTATAGTTTTTTTTTGTTTTTTTGTTTTTGTTTTAGTTCTGAGAGCCTATTAGTGTGCCAATGTCTAATGGTCTCTATCTATCTCTGAACTAAGCAAAATTAAAAATTACTGAGGTAAAACAAATACAGTAGTTTTTGTTTTGTTATTTGTTCTTTACATAGTAACCAGTATATATAAAATATATTTCAAAATGGAAAGCCATGTGTGCATACTGTATTTGCAAAAAATCAAATTTTACAAATTTTATAACATAATATATTAATATCAAAAACTGGAACCTCCAATGTAAATACAGTAAATATTAAATATTATTAGTTGAATAATTTGTAACACCAACTAGTCCTCCATCACCACTCCTACTCCAGATAACAATTATAACCGGGCAGCACTAAAATAATCCAGAGCAGGAGCCGTGTTGAAGGAGTATTCATATAGACATGTATTCATATAGACATGTATACATACACATTGGGACTAAAATTAACAGTTATTTCAAAGCCTGTTAGTAGACTCAATATATTTCTGAACACAGACACAAATAGCAGAATTAGGATCATGACTAAGGTGGTTACTTCCCCTAGTTAGTATATTAATATTATTTACTAAATGTTCAATTAGGTTTAAGTCGAGATTTAAATGTAAGTTTAGTTGAATGTCAAGCTGCAAATGAGACAGAGACTATAATAGGTTTTTCTCTTTGGATTATATACATAGGGCAGAATATAGAGAAGTGATCCACATCTTCGTCATGGTTGCCACATATACAGGATGGGCTATTAGTAAGGAAATCAGAATTTGATTGACTTGCATGGTTTCTAAGTTGACATAAAATGACGTTAAAAGATCTAGTCCCTCCATATTTAAAAGCATGTGTACACGTATCCTCAGCATAAGGAAGAATGGCATGATGGACGAGTTGCTTTTTAAGTTCACTTACTGACCTCAAATTATAATACATTGTAATTACAATCGGGTCTACATGTATTCCACCAAGACATCATACTAGGAAAGAAACTGTTAAAATTTATGCTAGTTCTGCAAATGGGTGTTTGAGATATACGTTGATGTCGAATATCATGAGTCATTGTTTATAATATGAGGTTCAATGTTTTCAAACAGATAATTAGGGGTATTACGGTTTGTTATTTAAAATAAATAGAACATGATATTTGGGACAAAAAAAAGAATAACTGATGGCGTTTTATGCGGTTGGATGGGTGGTTAAGTTTACAAAAAAAGAATAGAGGGAACTGTTTTCTACAAAATGTCCACATGAACATAGGGGATTATCTACAAGATTTCTTTCAAAAAGATGACGTTTTAAAAAACTGCATCGGACACGTAGTCTAGTATGATATATTTTACATTGTCTCGATCCTACAGAATAATATTCAGGGGAACGCCCCTAGAGTTTTGGTCGAGATAGGCTTTGAAGTTGGACAGCGGAGGAATAAAACGAATCTCGATAGATCTGATACCTGTAAGATTTGATATCTGTAAGATCTGGTACCTTTAAGATCTGATACCTGTAAGATCTGATACCTGTTAGATCTGGTACCTGTAAGATCTGATACCTTTAAGACCTGATACCTGTTAGATCTGATACCTGTACGATCTGATACCTGTAAAATCTGATACATGTAAGATCTGATACATGTAAGATTTTATAATGTAAGATCTGATACCTGTAAGATTTTATAATGTAAGATCTGATACCTGTAAGATCTGATACATGTAAGATCGTTACCATGCCTAGTGCTGTAGTTATGCATTTCAGACATGCTAGGAAGTACAAGCTTGGAAAAATAGTCAGGAGCTAGACGATGAAACTTAAAAAAAATTGCGTCAATATATGTTGTTTCCTTCTTTCACTTTAATTATCCTATCCAGTTTCTATATACAACTTATTTAGGTTATTTTAGTCGTATGTTCAAATTGATGTACTCATTACATGGAGATTAGGAAATCGAGTTTAAATGGTTGAATTAAAACAAGACAAAGAGACAAGCTGTTTTTATACATAATTTTAAAAGAAAGCATTCCAATATTAAATTAAAATTAATATGAAACATATTCTGAATAGTGTATGTCTAAGCTATGTCTACGAAATAACCCGTATGCCTGGTATTACCTATCTAAAAACTATATTCGAACATCTTCAATAAGAGTCACAGCTTGACAAAGGGACCAGTCGGTCTTGAAAACGTTGCGATACGTTTGATACGTACATTGTTTGTGGAAAATAAAACTTTGATATTATACTCGAATATCGTTTGATTAATGAACGAATAAATGTTACCGGGGACGTATATGACAGTATTAATGTCTAAGGCCTAACACAATTGAACGGTCTCCTTCTTTTATAAAAATAAATAAATAGTTTCTTGTGTGTAAAAACTGTTTTTATTTAGTGTTATTTTACGAAATTTGGATACGTCTGCATAATACAATAAACTTGCTTTCCCATCAAATCAAGAAAAAAACATCAATTATGAAAGTCTTATGTCAAAATAATTACAGAAAGGAGTACATGTATCTCTAACTTTCGTGTTATTAGCTTAGTTTGGACAGCTTTGCCTTACACTTGTAGCAGACTGGATTTGGTCGATCGTCGGTGATATGAAAACAATATGAGATGTAACTTATATCCTCTATATGTTCATGATTTGATAATAGTATACCTTGATGGTGATATGACAGACATTTGATGACAAAACTAAGGGTGCAACTGGTATGGGCCTTGGAGTAAAACAAGAAAGACAAAACGTTGTATTTGTTTCGCATCACATAACACATTGGAATCTTCATTATGTTTAGTTATGCGTTTCAAATAAGGCTCGTGATAATAAATTATGCAAAATGATCGTTTCAGGAAAACAAGATGTTATGCACAAATCATGAAAAGTTGAAACGGAATGTTAAATCAACGTAAGAGAACCAATAAAACTTCTCCTGTGTAAGGACTTTCATTGTACAAAGTTGATATATAGTTTACCAATCCCTAGAAATCTTCTAAAGACGGGATCCCGCTGAAATTCAGTACTTTTAATAATACTTCTCTTGTGTTTAAGGATCAGGGAAAACGTTAGAATACATTTCCAAACCACATCAGACGGGCCGTTAATTGTATCAGTTGCATGTAGATGCAGACAGATCTACTTCAACAACTATGTGTTCTAGGTTTTACCTCCCTCTACACTATACAGTATGCACACATTAATTACTCATACATTTCCTTGAGTATGATGTAGCAGCCCTACTGGTCCTGGAACTTTGTCTATGTAAGTCTTTAACACGTGTTAATAGTACTGGTTTACTCCTACAGTTTTATTCCATATGCATATCAACGAAGAGGGCGTTTCTAAGTTGAGATAACTTGTGCCTAATCCTTTTTGTTGAATGACAAGTAAAATATGTTTAAATCAATATCAACGGGGTTTTTTCGGATACAAAAGGAATTGGGCAACAGGCAAAACCAATAAATGCACTTTCCTTTTAATTCTTGATAAGTTTGTATAACATTTACACTTCTGTGTTCCAGGTAGCCACTGATCAGTTTGTATTATACTGGTATAGTCCTCTGTCAGTTGACATACACGTCTGTGGTGTCCAAGTACTCTTTGACTAGGTTGTAACAACACTTGTACTGGTCCTACAAATCATTTTGTTAATAAATATATTTTACTTAATGCCATCGATATCAACAATGTATAAATATACATATATAATTTCAAAAACAAATGTATTTCTGATAAATACGTGTAAATGAATTGCTCATTGTTACGAAAACAATAATTCAACCATTTCAAGAAAAGATAAACCCTGCATTGTCGCTGCATATAAGAAATACTTGGAGGTAGTTTATACGTTTCTATCATTGTATTTGTACACAATATATTGGTATATACTTATCGTTTGAAAATTAAACGTTTGAAACCAGTAGCTCATCAAGGGACTTATCACAAATTTAAAATACAAAATGATGTCGTACATCGAATCTACTTGATTTGTACTCACAACACTTGTGATGCATTCCGGACGTCTGACAAGAACTTGTCGAGAAATCTGAAACATATCGACTTCCTCGTCAATCTTCATCTGGTCTCTAGCATTGCTGACACAGCAGAAAAGCCCACTCTGTGTATATCCGTCCCTGAAATATGTCAAATATTGATGTTATTTACCTTCACCGAAACATACTTAATGTTACCAAAAACGAAAGATGTGTTTATTTAATTGAAAAATGTATATTGCATTCCATACAAAGCTCATTATTATCTAAACGCTTTTTTCTGACTTTTGTATTATAATATATTTTGTAAGTTATAATAAAGTATATTTTGTTTTCCATCTTACAATTTTTATTGATTACATTAATTTCTATACGTGTTTCCTGATGTATAAAACGATTAACGTGTTGTCATTTGTTGTTTAAGACAATTGAGTAAACATAAACTTTCTTAATTTGTATTTGTTTAATTCAAATTCACTGATGTAAATTAAGACGAATGTTTACCGATAAAATTGTTGAAATGGATATTAAAGAAATAAAAAAGGTAGAGGCGAAAATGGAAAGAGCAATGCTTGTTTGAGTCAGAACAACTGGGTCATTGGGAGCAGTGGACATTTTGTGTGACCTTCGCTACATACCGGCACATGACTACAGTCGTTTTCGAGTCATGTGACTTCCGTCTGCTGTCTACAAGTTCTAGAAGCTGAAGAAGTGCCGATGAATCTGGCGGAACTGATACGTCTCTATCCCAACCAGTCATTCGAAATACCCGAACTTTGGTGTCATATTTATGACTCTGGAATCATATTGTTACGTCATTAAAACGTTCATTCAAAAGACGTACTTTCAAGGAAGCCATTTAAACAGTTTTTAATTGATTCAGTCATTAACAAATTAATTAAATAACATACAAAAATGTCTATTTTCAGCTTATTGTGGTGCAGATATTATCAGACTGCGTTTCTAGTAACAATGATATTCAAACATATGTTTTTTTTATCAAGTTTACTCCAACAAATATGTGCTTTCAGAGTACTGCGCCAATGTAGAGGTAACACCACCAAAACATGACAAGGTTGACATGGGTGGTTTCACATGGACGTGAATATGTTCATGGATGAGTTTTATTTTAGTTGTAAAATAATCTCCACAATGCTCGCTTTCAAGTCCTACCTGGTTTGAGATCGCAATATCTATCAAATCGATATGAGCCAGATTTGAAGAGCCTCCTAAATGTTTCAGTGTGAATTTTCCAATTGAGCTATCTTTTCCTTCCTCTGGCAACCATTTCTATGAAACAATCAGTTGATTATTATAATGATTCATAATTAAGCAAGTAAATTAAATGTGACAAAATAACAATAAACATTATTCAATATAGTTAAAATTTGCATGTCGTTGTTTTTAACGATGCATACTACATAATTAAACATTGAAAAACATTGTAGATTTGTTATAAAATGTAATGCAATTATCAAGATTTTTTTTAATATCGGTATTCATTTTGTAATAATTTCAATAAGATTTCAAGCTTGTAAACTTACGACGGGGTCTTTTTCAATGATAACAATGGTATCGCATTGGTTGTCCATTATCATTGTCAAAACATCGACGATGGTGTCATCTAAAGGACTCTGGGTAATGATGTAACCGGTTCTGGACGTGTAAGACTAAAGAAAACATAATTAGGTCATTTGATTTCTCATAAGCTACAAATCATCATATATTTCAAAATACGACTACGAATCCTTGTATCTTGCACACAATAACACATTCATGATAATATTTATATTTTGCAAATATAAACGCAGCCAATAATGAAAGGTCATGTATAACTATGGCTTTCAACATCTTTTAACACTGACGTTTTGGAAAGGTAATAATAAAAAATATTCACAGGAACAGCCACAGCGTTGATATAATCTGTTCTGTCGGATAATGATGACGTCAGGTATGCTCTGAATTTGTCAACTGTAAGCAAAAAACAATGATATAGACTGCATAAATATCAATAAATGGATAAATCAATTAAATGATATAAATATAAAAAAAACGTACAAAAAGAAATATACAAAATAGTCATGTTATCGAATGTTTGTTCATAAATGAAACGATACGTGCTTACTATGTATGTAAACAATATATATAAGTATTTATACAACTGTATAAACAGCTTACTTGCTAAGACATTCGGATCCTTGTTCTTGTTGCGGTTGACGGGAAGGAGTGCTGCTTTATAGTCGACTTTGGTATATGTTGGCTTCAAAGTTTGCAACAACTAAAAACGTCAGATTTGTTTCACGTTAATTATACAATAAGATATACTGATGAGTTGGTTTCTTTGCAAAACAATGTTTTGAGGATGCATTACTTAGATAGATCATTGTTTGACAGGATACACTTTGATTTACGCTGACTGTATTTGATTTTCGCTATCATGATAAGATTTTGAAATATTTAAATAGCGTGTACTTATTTATCGTATAATATAGCAGGTCATGAGAGGCAACTATACCTCCCTTTTTCGATCAACTTTGAGTTCTAATCTTGCCATTGTTTGTTGATTTTGTGGTGTATTTTGTTTTAGATTTTACTTAACATTTGGCGAAGGAGAATTGGGACATAATTTGTGCAACAATTACCAAACAACTGGTATATTTAAGCATAAAACATGTAAAAATAGTGTTGGTTGTTCATTTTCTGAAATAAATAAATACAAGTTGTCAGGAAAAATCAGTGTATATGTTCATATTAGTATACAGATTTCAATATTGAAAAGTCGTTTTAAAGTACAGAGTTTTAACACTTGTCTAATGTTTGCAGGCATTGAATAGTAATCTCCCTCTAAAAGTGATGTTGTGCAAAAACAATTTAAGATCGTGTCTTGTTTGGGAGAAAGAAAAGAGTTTTGAAAAATATTCCCGGACAAGTTGCAAAATCGTATTTATATAAAACAAAGCTTTACCGCTAGGGCAGTGGAGTAGCTGACTTTCCAGTGATCGAAATTACTTCGCGGTATTCACTTACAAAAAAGTGTGTAAACGATGTTGCTCGTTTATGGTAAAAGGGCTAATAAGCCAGAAAAATGCTTTCAATTCAAGACACAGCTCAGTGACTCCACACAGGTATTTTTGAGATATAAGTAAGGAAATGGATTTAGAATACACATAATAAAGATAAACATTGAAATATAACATTTTGAATTATAATAATGTGATTAGTGTAAAAGGTACTACAGGATCATTTACAATTGTGATGAAGGGTTCTATTCCGATTTTGTTTTAACTTAGAGTAATCTCCTTTCTGTATAAAAATTGTTGCAGTTACATGGAGCTTTTCTTAATAAGAGTTACTACCCCTGTCAAGATGATGGGCTTCTGTGTTGCAACATTTGGAAAGTGTAGGCTTAGCAATGTAAAGAACACCGAGTTCGACCCCAAGCGTTTTGCTAATTTTTTATTTCCAATCATTTAAATTTGAAATGCTGTAGAATGTAAGGCAATATTTGATTTATATGGAATATTTCTTGCGAAAACTAAAGCAAATATTTCACAGTAGTAAGGATATAGCTTAACTTGTTGGTACCCTTTACCTTAAACTGCCCAATATATACAATCATATGTTTGATAACATATACAACTCAGATGTTTGATAACATATACAACTGTTACCTGGTGTTCCTGCCATAAATTCGTTTGGTTTACTGGGATATCATCCGACAGTCTGTTCAGTGCTGCATGGTACTCCACTCTTGGTATAAGGGTGTCTGGCATGTCAAACGCCTCAATCAGGATGTTGTGCAGACCAATATACTGATCCTAAATGCAACAATGGTATTTGAATACAACTTCGAACCATTCGTCACTTAAAAATCAAAAGTGTTATCTGCATTTTCGTTATTTTATTTTTAAATAATCGAATGATCATCTTAATGGTGGTTCGATTGTATCTGAGATGAAGAGATCACCCATGATTCTGAATATATGAGAAAATTAGTTAATTCAATGCCTTGCATTAATTATTAATATGCACAAAAAATGAATTGGTAGTTTTTTGTAATTTTTACGACTTACAATGGTTTGAACCATATTGACCCTGTCCTTCCTCATGGTTCTAATGTAACCTATGATGTCGACCATTCCAGATTCTTTGCCGTAATCCAACAAAGCATCCAGCGCAATGAACGTTCCTGTTCGCCCGATACCGGCACTGTAAGTCAAATGATCACAGTTAGGATACTAGAACTATATAAGAAGATTATATATTGCTAAACACGCTATTGTGAATGTCATTGTTTAGTGATACCCGTGCCAATCAATGTGAGTAATAAATAATTCAAGAACCATTATCAAAAAAAACTGATACAAACTTATTTTACACTTCAACCACAAGGAAAGACGACAGTGCATATACAAATCTTATGCAAATGGTTTAAGAAAAAATGATCGGTTGTTGCAAGAAACTGTGTTATGTAGACAATAATAAGTCATTATTTTCACTGTCCTAAGTCATCATTCATTATTTTTCTCTGTTACAAATGAAACAAACTAAAATTCCGTTTTCAGGACAAACCCTACGGTCAAAGCAAAATGAACAAAGGGCACCTGCAATGGACAACCATCTTTCCTGGTAAGGAATTCTTGTAAAGCTTCATTCGACGATGGAACACGACAAGTTCATTGGGGTTTGGGGTTCCGTGGTCTGGCCACGTGGTGTAGTGAAACTGGTGTACTTGTCGCACAGATTTGGTCTGAAAATATAGTTATTTTTATATAAAACATATTTTGTACAGGTGACGTTGATTCATTAACTCCTTTATACTAGGATGATTGAATTCAAGGACTTTGAGAAAGGCAGATGCAAAGAATATTTCTTGCCGTGTTAATTGTTCTAAAATGTCTTTTTCTTTTGTTTAGCGTTATATGGTAAAGCTATAATTATGGGTCTTTTATTATTCACAATAGAGTGATGTGAAATATTTGGTCCTACATGATATGTTCAACTCATAAACAGGAATGATAAACTGGAATTACATAAAGTAGTACGATTGGATGAGTGAATTTCCTAAACATATTCTAATAAGTCTGGGGAAGAAAACCTCGTACTAAAATTACCTTTTTTTTCTGTGAGAATGATATCCCGGATCACATAGAAGGCGTAGACCCTTTCTCTGTCTAAGACGATCTCGAAATGTTTTGTAGACATCGGTTCCCCCTCATCCGGCCAGTATTTCACACACTTTTTCTGACATCGAAATATATAATGTGTAAGTATGAGTGTAGCGTGATAACACTGTATATGTGAAATCATATGTTACTAATTAATAAGAATGTCTTATATACTTTCGACGCTTATCGCTGTGATATTTATGCGATATTAATTGTTGTTTAAAATGAGCTAGGCTATCTTCAAGTGGAAGTTTATGACTGAACAAGTATCAGTACAAATTGTGAAAGTTCATCGTAATGTCTTTACCTTTGGTCCCTCAGACAGATTAGTCAGCATTACGATTTTGCCAGTTTTCAGTTGCCAGATCATACGCCACAGATCATCTACGGTTTTGTTTGTTGGTCCTGCGGGCGAGATAATTTAGAAAACAATTGTTTTGGATCATTGTCAAACTGTAGTGTTTTTGTATTAAAACAATTCATTTTTTGCAATGGGACACTGCTGAGCTTTGAATGTATTTCTTCAATTATTAAGGTGTGGAATCATAATTTAGTTTACCTTGTGTTGCTATATACTCAGCAGGTAGCGTGACACTCTGAAAAGTAAATTAACTGTACGTGTACGAAACATCACCTTATGAATTCATTCTGTAAACCACATTTTGGTTTCAACATCTGCAGCATTACACTAATAGTATCAATTTATCTTACAATGCTATAAATCAACTGTAAATGACATGACGAGTACAGTTAGTATATATTAAAAATAATATATCAGGCAATACACGTAATCCGAAATCTGAGACCCTGATATAGATAAAGTAGGCAGAATAATACAAAGTCAAATAAGATATTTAAAACAAGCTGGGAACATTTAAAATTAAAATACTTTGTTGTTTAAAATTAGCTAGGCTGTATAGAATGTCCATAATTTCTGGTGGCAAAATTATGGACATTCCGAGAAGAGAACTAAAGTTTGTGATAATGAAAATATATAGTTCATTTAATTAATATAGAAATACAGAAGTATAATAGAAAATAAAATCACAAACATCGATATAGCTTGCATTAATGTAGTCCGAGTGTGGATCTTTGTCCTGTTTGTCAAGGACTACTCGTGAATGGTCATCTGTAAAATATAACAAAATGGATAATGTGACATATTTAACACTGTAAGGCCACTAAATAATGCATTAAATCAAAACGAAATTATCGCACGACAGCCAATATTATCCGGTGTACTTACCATTGTTGTCCTCTATTTCACTTACTTGGAAATACAAGGCGATACTTCTTACTCTTTAGTTTTAGCGAGGTTGAAAATGAGGTAATCATGACCGCGAAACTCGAGAACAAGAAAAACACGACGATCAAATATCACGTGGTTGAATCAGCTCAATCGAATCAGAACATGCTGTTAAATAGCCGAAGTATGATAATATAGGAGCTTGTATGAAATGGTGTGGGTCTTGAGTGTTACTTACATGGAAACGTGGACTTAAATCTGTTTTTTGGTTTGTTTTCGGTCATCATCCCAACTTTATGTTCATACAAATCCCCTGATGGTAGCGACTGAACAAAGCATGCAAATGAAAATATATTACTGTTAATTGATTAAAAAAGGTTTTATTTCATAAACTGTCGGAGTTACATACTTATGCAATTACACAGCCACGTATGATCTACGAAGTGACTAAGACGTATAATTAGAGGTTATATTCATGTATACCTTAATTGTAGTTATACTATACTAAAACATCAGATTATCTACGACAGTAGATAAGGAGTATCTTTGTATCCTTGAAATTCCAGATATTTTGTCACCCTGAAATATGTCATGGCAAAATTGAAGGTTCTGTACGTGCTTCCTTGCACATGATACAAGTTGACCAGTTTAAGCCTTCAATGCGCATCAAAAGGATCGCATGGCAGCGTAACGGTAAAATTGACCGGATTTGAAGTCGGGTGTCACTTCTCTGTATCCTTCAAAGAGGTATCTACATGAAACTATGATATCGAAAATTAAACACTTTCGATTTTGTCATGACATAATCCATGGGTTTTCAACTTAAGTGAGTGTAACCTCCGGAATTTCGAGGATATATATAGACGTGTGATATTCTTAAACATTATATCGATATTCGTTAAAGAATGATAACGTACTACTATAGAACAAAGCTTACCTATTATTTAACTATATTTGCATGATTAAAAGTTAACTAATTTACTAAATTTGATAAGAAAACCTGTGTAGTTATGTGGTGTATAAATCGATTTAACAAAGAACTTGGTACATAATATCTACCTTGTATTCATCTTCAAACGCTTTTGCTTTGTTTAACATCTTTGTTTTCACCAACGATGTCAGGTCACTAATAGCGATACCCTCAGAACCTGAATTACAGTAAACCTCTTCGTATGGGTCTACTGTTTTGTTTACATTCCCAGCGTTGACGTAAACGTTATCGAGATTCGCTAATGGTTTTGATGTGCGTTCATCTGACTCTAAAATAAAAAAAAATGTAATGACCAAATAAAAAAACCCCAAAAAATCCCCCCGCAAAAAAAGGATCAAGCTTAAGCATGCAGTTGAAAGAATAGCTCGTCTGATTTTATGACATTACCATAGCCATTGTTGAGCCGTGATGATCGAGACACCTCCCGCCTGCCGAAGTCATCCAATGAATCTTCTTCCTTCGAAGAGTTCTGTCTGCGTCTAAAATTCATAACCCGACGCATTTGTTCACATAATAATAAATATAATCAAGTCCTAATAATCCGGCTACTTAAGTTACCCGACAAAGTGTCTGGATTAAGGAGCAGCTGGAAAACATAGCTTTGTCGTAATTTAAACTAATTCAGGTTTACAGTGTAATGTACGTTTACATTGTAAATGAAAGTCAACTGTATTAAGGATGTACTCTTCTGAGGTTTCAGTCACGTTCAAGTCTCGTTTTGATCTAGTGTATCGGGTTTATGTAATATTTAACAAATTAAGATAGGTATAATAGCACACACACATCTGAAAAACATGTAAAAAAACCTAGATGTCTGTTTACAAGAATTTTTAAAAAATGACCAATTTGGCGGCCATTTTGAAAAAGTGTATTTATGTGAATTTCTTGCCTTCACAAAGGGCCAAAATTTCACCTTTTTTGACACTAGATTGATCACTTAAATTGTCATTGTGTCACCATTTTTAACTGTTGCTGGTTCAATTTTGCTGTACAATTTTATAATGTTCAATATGATTAAAATAATATACAAATAGATGGAAAGTTATATATTATTGATATACTTTTTTACATATTAGGGTTACTGAAGCACTTTTGATTTTTGACCTCGAAAAAGGTGAAAAATAACACAAATAATAATGGGACAAAAAAAGAAGCACACAGACCCCCCATTTTTGTGACTGTTTTAGAAAGAGAAACACATTTTCTTTTGATTCATTTAATACTAAAAAAAGTTAAATGAAGTTTTTTTTTTTTATATCAAGCGTTTAATCTGCAAAAAATGGTGAAAAATGTGCATTTTTTCATTAAAAAAAAGGGGTAGGGGTAACTAAAATAGCATTTCTGAGTAAAATGAATAAGATTAAGAAATGTTACTTCCATAGTTTCAAAGAAAATAATATTTTTATCAATTCTACAAACATTCATACATATCTGATAACATACTTGGAAGAAATTGTATGAATTTGTTGTGCAAATGGGCAAAACCCGAAAATTCACCTAAAATCACATATTGTGTTAAATTGGTATCTTTGGCCGATCATAGCACAAAAACGAGCATTTTCTACTATGCCATTATCTCCTTTTTCCAAAAATCAAGATAAGAAAAAAAGTTTAATACAGGAAATTTTTGACTTCTCATAGGCGTACATCCTTAATGTAGGTTTACAGTGTAAATGTAATCTACTGTATACATTTAGTTTTACAAAATTCTGGTTGATAGTGTAATGTAGAATTATAGTGTAAACATTTGTTTACAGTGAAATTGTTAGTTTTCAGTTAAGAGGTAAGTTATAATAAAAATGTAGTTTATGAGTATAATGTAGACACACAGTGTTAATTAATGTTTTTAAAATGAAGATTTGCAGTGTTTATGTCGATTTAAGGTGTAAGTTAACACTGGAAATGTAGGCTTACATTGTAACCCTGACATAAATATCAAATGATCCAATGACTTATCTGCAGTAACATGTACAAACGAAGACCGACACAAGTATAAAACTCGTTTAAATCCACACATTTACCGTTTTCCTTTATTCGTCTACAGAAAACGAGACGTGAAAATATGTATGTTTTATGTAGTTATGAAAATATTCAAGTTAAGTACGTGACTGCCTTCCCTCTTTCAAGAAATAATAGCCATACATACCTCCTGATTACGAACAAAACGCCAATGGTTATAATAGATACCAAGAGAAACAATCCAACAACAATGCCAACTGTCGTCCCAGTAGAATCATCCTCTGGGGGTGATTGTATGCCTTCAAAGCAAAACACGGTTCTGTATTAGCTTTTCATGAAGTCCAACACAGTAATAATGCAGTAATCATTCTGCATTTTAACATTTTCTGGTCGTAGAATTTGATAAGCGTGATCATATCGTTATATTCTCTTCGTTAAATTGCTAAAATAGATGGACATACATTATTATTTTGTTAGTATCTCGTGCTAATTTTAGCCAAGCAAAAAGAAAACATTAACACGAAACTTTGTTTTATTTTAGAAAAATATTGAAATTCAAATTGAAAATCATCCAAACAAACTTTTTCAGGCATTGCTCAAAAATTGCGTTTTCGAAATTTTCAAATTAAATCAATCAAGCCGTCAACATCTTTGTCCTGATGTATAATATACATAGTGCTTAGATTACCTGTATTTGGTTTTATAGCTTACGTGCTAGAATATTCAAGTGCCACCTACGAAATAGCATCTTACTCATTTGACAAAATTCTCCTTCGTATCCAGGCATGCAGGAAGTTAGGCACTTTCCAGTTTCCCTCGAACACCGCTCACAATTGACACAAGACAAACTGCAGTTTCCACCATATAAACCATCCAAGCATTCTGTTGTAATAAAATGTATATTATTATTTACTGATTTTGTATTATTTAAAATAATTGGCAGCATTTGAGAGGAAATATGAGCATGATTTTTGCTAATTTATTAATGCAGCAGTTGACTTGATATTTTGGAGTCAAAGCAATGCACATCGTCATTAATTTGGTGTATTAAGACAACAGAAACTGAGAGGAGACAGCGACAGAGAATTACAGCATTATTTTTTTTCTCTCTCTGAATAATTACAATAATTATGTTTGGCATTCCTCCTTTAGATATATAATATATCCTTTATATATAGTGATAATTTGATGATTCCGTTGAATGTATAATCTGTGTGAATTTACTTAATTACCTGTACATTCACCGTCTTCCCGTTGGCATATTTTACAGGTAGGTTCACATTCTAGTGTGCAGTCCATACCATGGTATCCATGTTTACATTCTAGGAAAGGGAAAAGGTTTTTCTTGTACATGTCACACGGAGATGATGAATTTAGATAAAGCTTTGACCAAACAAAATCTCAAACAGTTCATTACATATCAAGATTGTCAGTTGATTGTGACATATGAACAGAATATGTTATATTATTTCTTTATTTCGAACCCTACTTTAAGATGCAAGTGTGGGTCACCATAATCGACAGAAGGGTGGTTTAAAGCAACCTGTATTAGGTTTAAAATATAAGTTAACCTATTAGGTTTATAGAATTTCATCTTTGTAGTTGGCAGTGTGTTATGGGCAGTGTGTTATGGGATTAATAAAATCTTTCACCCCCTTGGGGTGAGACACGGTAATCTCAACCCGAGGGGTAAGATTCTTAAGTTGTCAAACACGAGGCTTGCCGAGTGTTTGACAGCTTACGAATATTACCCCGAAGGTTGAGATTCCCCTGTCTCACTCCCAAGGGGGTGAATGATTATTTTTCTCTTACCGTTTACTCTCTTATGTATTTTATATAGACATTACATCAATGCAAGACGATGTTGATTGTCGACGGGACGTCATTGTATTGTTGTCCTGACGTCATGGTATTGTTGCTATGACGTCATACAATTGTTGAGAACGTGCAAAGAACACGTGTAGCTTGTCTCAACCCTAGGGCGAGATAAGAAAATCTCACACCGGTAAAATGATGGATATCCCTGTCTAGGGTAAGAGAACCACGGTTTATACAAAACTGGTTCATCTTCACCCAAGGATGTTTCAGACTAAATATGGAACAAATCCTTTCATTCCTACAGAAGAAGAAGGATTTTAAATAATTTTCTATATTTCCCCTTTTGGGCCCCGAACCTCAACATCCAGGGGGGCCAGACCCACCGTTTATACAAAATTGGTTCCCCTTCACCCAAGAACGCTTCAGACCAAATATGGAACAAATCCTTTTAATACTACAAATGAAGAAGGATTTTAAAGAATTTGCTATATTTCCCCTGTAGCAATTTTGCCTGAAACTAGCGATCAAATCTTTAAGTATCATATTCTTTTGATCTTGCCTTAATAACTCCCTTTTCCGATCGCATAGCCTCACAAAAGTCACCAACATTTGCGGGATGTTGACAGCAGACGACGTGAAACAAAACAGCCCGCAGCAAAAAGCGCGTTAAAGAGTCGTCCGGTCAAGGTTCATCTTCTCGACCAATCAAAACTACGGAAGGTCATATACCACGTGTGGTGTATAACTCATATTTATCAAACAATCTGCATGTTTAAACATCTCAGAGTGGAAAAACACAGCGTATTGACTATTGTGGTAGAATTACATATACTTCACAACACTTGTATAACAAGAAAAAGCATTACTTACCAAGACAATTGCCATCATCCTTTGCGCAAAGGTTATCTTTACATTTGTTATTGCAATCCAGTTCACATTTTGTACCGTATTTACCCTGAATGCATCCTAAAAAACAAGATTCAATGAATATTGCATTATGCCTAAATGCATTATATGTATATTAAAATTAAATCAATAAAACGATCAGAAACCCCCATTCTCTAAGCGATATCCTGCAGCTGTTAAAACCTATTAATGACATGAGCGATATTTATTTTGGTTTACTTCCTCCCTTTAGCTTATGCTATATGAAAACGGTGTCCATAGTTGAAAGGGTCACTTTAAATTGCGATCTCATTGAAATATCATACCCTTGAAAGGGAAGTACAATATTACAACCAGTCACATAACACTGACAACAGACTAACCAGAGTAGTTGAAGGAAACAACGCCGAAAACAGGAAAAGAAAGGAGGAAGTAAAACTTGCTGTGATATACTCATGTAATTTTTCGTCATAATGGCTATATGTTTGAGCCTATACATAACCGTACGCGATTGTATTTCGTTTTTAATTGAGGAAAGGCGTTTACTCAAGCAGCATGCATAACGTAACGACCTTTTATTTAATACCGAAATTTTAGACTCATTTCCTAAAATACAATGGCCAAAGGCGTCCAGGCAGTTTTGAAGCTTTCATAGTTTGTTTTCGTATCACGGTACATTTCTGTGTGGTACATAAACGAAGCATTTATACTCCGTTTCTGTACTTTTGTATTACAATTTGTATTGTTCGTTTTTCCCCATTACAGCCGAAAGTGACAGTGGTACACTTTTACAATGTCAATGGCATAATGACTCTTACGTTTTGGAATTGTACGGTAGCACTACAGCGCACATTTACACAGGTATTTCAAATATCAACATAGTCGTTAAGTTAATGGTTAATTTTCGTTATAAACTAGCGGTTGTCAGCAGTACTAAATAGGGTAAGTTTGAAAAGACTTTTCCTAATTTGATTTTATGTTTTATTGCAATGAATATCCGTACCCAAAAGTTGCGTCAGATGTACTGTTTGTGTTTTGTGTAGTCCACTTATGGTATGACGTCCACTTTTTCTTAATAATGCTTATATTTATCATAAATGGCGATATATTCTTCCTTTTTCCAGTCTAGGTTTTCTTCTGTTTACCGTTTAACTTAAAGACATGCCCCAGGAGAATGAAAGGAGGCGCGATAAGATAAATATAAAAGCGAAATAACAAAAGGACACGTACCGGTACATGCAACAAAATAAATCGACAAATATATATCGGTTTAAATCTCGTTTTACATATACAATTCAGGATTATTTAATCGTAACACATATCCCGTATTTTTAATTAACGATACATATCCTGTATGAGACTTCACCAGAAGAGTAAAATCAGAGTTCGATATTCCGCAGCGTCAACCCATTATGTTTTAATCGAAAATAATAGCTCAGGGTCAATTTCGCTTATTTATTTATCAGTGGCCGCGGTTCAGACACGGTGCATGAATGCTTAACAGATTGAAGTATCTAAATATGGAAAAATCTTAGTTGGCTACGGATGACAATTTTAAATTTCAAATCCATGTCAAATGAAGATTGAAACGTTATTGACAGTCTTAATATTTGCAGGTTGTTTCTTGGAAATCAAAGCATTTTTAGGAGTTGTTATAAGATCTTTATACGGACACATACATATTTAAGACCAGGATGACCACTTCCAGTCAAGAGGATTATTCGATTCAAATTTGAGTGAGGTATTCATACTTAAAATATTTGAAAGCAGTGTCGTGAAAAAACACATTATGTCAAGAGTTATCACACGGGACACTTTGAGCGGCCGACAACAACGAAGACGACGAAAAAAGTGACCCCTCTATCAGTTAACAACCACAAAGGGAACAACATGCGGTTTCAATAACACAACATTTCAAAATTTGATGTCTAATCAGGTACAAAATTACTCATATTATCTTCGGTATTTTAATAGTAATGACTATTTTATTATTCAAGAAGGAGAAACAGTGTTCCTGGTGAAGTGCTATTTTGTTTACTGACTACAATATAGTGTCGGTAAATAAACATACAACGATCACCGTGTTCGGTTTATACAATATCACATTATCTGAACCGTGTAGTGCGAATATGTGAACGATATCATGTTGAAAAGATGTTATGGGCGGATTGGTCGAGTGGTTAACACTTCGGCCTTCTACGCAGGCGGCTGGGATTCGATTTCCGAAGTCGTCGTACGCATGGATGTTAAGAAAAAGTGTTTTTCTCCTACTAACTCAACTCCAACCACCCAGATGGAGTAAACATTGGTCAGGGGTGGATGTTGCCATATCTGTGCTGTAGCATGCAAGTGAGGTGGCACTATAAATGATGCCGTTGGAAGCACGGTCCCACTACAAACAGAACACAATACATCTCCAGCACACACGCAGGCATACACACAAAGGGAAAGTGGCATATGACTAGTAGTTAGCGCCTGATAAGGCAGCTCCTGCGAATTCCTCAAAAATTGTATTGATTGATGTATATGCTAATTGTATTAAGTGTTTGTCTATGTACTTTAAAGCACTTTAGAGTGGCTTGTGTTAGCTAGATGGGGCGCTTTAAAATAATGTATATTATTATTTTTATTGATATAAAAAGATAAATTGCACCCCTCTCTGTCTGTCTGTCTGTCTGTCTGTCTGTCTGTCTCTCTCTCTCTCTCTCTCTCTATCTCTCTCTCTCTCTCTCTCTCTCTCTCTCTCTCTCTCTCTCACACACACACACATAAACATTTGTGTGTCTCGATGTATACACAATACGTGTACCGTGTATTGTTGATCTATACTCATTATGGCTATGTGTAGTGTTGATAAACGTACCGTATGGTGTTGATATATATATTATGTGTATTTTCTAGTGCCATACCTGTACATGTTATATACAAATGTGTTGTTTGGTTTGGCCAGTAACCTTTACTCACCGGTACAGTTTCCACTGTCCTGTAAACATATTTTGTCTTTGCAGTTGTTAGAGCAAACATTTTCACACACGTCACCGAACCTTCCGGAAATGCATCCTGTAAAATGTAATAAGGAAATGTAATTGAGTACATAATCAGCATGTTTAAATCAAATGCACGTCAATTATAAACGCAAATCAATTGAATACTAAAATAAACGCTGTTATTACTTGGTGTATTCTGAAAACAAATTGTGGCAGACCTACAGAAGGACGAAACAGTACCCCGGTAGACGAGGAAGAATCATAATCAACTCGGTAAGATATATTCTGCCTATGATATTATAGTGCATGGCCGTCTATGATGTTATATTGTATGGCCGTCTATGATGTTATAGTGTATGGCCGTCTATGATGTTATAGTGTATGGACGTCTATGATGTTATAGTGTATGGACGTCTATGATGTTAGTGTATTGCCGTCTATGATGTTTTGGTGCATGGCCGTCTATGATGTTAAAGTGTATGGACGTCTATGATGTTATAGTGTATGGCCGTCTATGATGTTATAGTGTATGGACGTCTATGATGTTAAAGTGTATGAACGTTTTTGATGTTATAGTGTATGACCGTCTATGATGATATATTGCATGGCCGTCTATGATGTTATAGTGTATTGCCGTCTATGATGTTAGTGTATTGCCGTCTATGACTTTTGTGGTGCATGGCCGTCCATGATGTTATATTGTATTGCAGTCTATGATGTTATAGTGTATTGCCATCTATGATGTTATAGTGTATTGCCGTCTATGATGTTATAGTGTATGGACGTCTATGATGTTGTAGTGTATTGCCGTCTAAGATGTTATAGTGTATTGCCGTCTATGATGTTATAGTGTATGGACGTCTATGATGTTAGTGTATTGCCGTCTATGATGTTATAGTGTATGGCCGTCTATGATGTTATAGTGTACTGCCGTCTATGATGTTATATTGTATGGCCGTCTATGATGTTAGTGTATTGCCGTCTATGATGTTATAGTGTATGGACGTCTATGATGTTATAGTATATGGACGTCTATGATGTTATAGTGTATGCCGTCTATGATGTTATAGTGCATGGCCGTCTATGATGTTATAGTGTATGGACGCAGCATACATTTGGTTTGTTGATAAAGTAAAAAAAAAAAAGGAATTGTTTCAATGTCATGCAATTTAAATCAACGTTATCCCTATGATTGCAATACTAATGTCATGACTTGGTGTTTCGGATCTTACTTTATAGCAAGTAGAATGTTTTCAATGGAGAAGATGAGGAATGATTATAAAAATATACCCCAAAAGGTGGTACATTATTAAAAATATGACGTGTTCATAACATCTGAAATAAAGAAGACGTTATTGCTGTCATATTGTCCCCGGTAACGGTTGAGATACATGTAAGTCATGTCAACGTCGACAAAATTCCGTAAGGTGTAGAATTGTACTAGATTTACGCACAGAAGCTTATGCACTTGTACTATGCATCATGTGTAAAGGACTAATTGTTTTTTTCTATCTTTCGTGTCACTGTATTAGTCAGTACAAGGAAAAACATTGTTGTTTTGGTGTCCAAGCCAAATAAATCATACCACGGCTTGATTGTGTTAGCCGTGAAATGGCCATTGTCTTGATACAGAGTGGAGTTATGATTTATCAAAGCTATAATAATGTCGTGGCACACATGCTTGGCATTGCCACGCGGGAATCTTTAACATTATTTTTTTACCGTTGCGTGCTTCATTTCTTTTTGTTTTCGTTGAAAGAGATTTCTTGTGATTCTTTTAAAATTTTGTTTACGTTTTCTTGCATTTACTCGACGTGTGTGATAAAATCAATTAAGCTTTGTGAAAACTGCAAATTTTAACAACTCTTAATATACTGAGAATCCAAATTGCATGGGATTATGATGTTACAAGAATGATATCGAAACATAAAACATGTTATTTACCCACCAGTGTATTACTATAGCAGAAAACTCCCTTAAAAGTTAGTTGCCATTACCTTTACAGTGGCCATTATGTTGGTAACACCTGCTGTCGTTACAATTCCAAGAGCAATCCTGATCACAGAAATCTCCATGTTTTCTTGGAATGCAGTCTGAAATGTAAAATATATCGTTTACTTGTGTTTGTAAAGTGTAAAATTGTGGTTGAAAAAACATAAAACAAATCATAATAAAATAAACACCATTTCCCTTTCGATTAACAATTCCTTTTCTGGATCAATCAGGTCACATGAAACTATTAAATAGTTACTTTTATGGATAAGTTAAAACTTATCAGCAGTACAAATTACAATAAATTAATGTGTTCCATATCAATAAGGAGCACAGCTACAAAGGCATTGGCCCAGCTGTAATATTATTAAATGATAATAAATTGTTATTAAGTTTTAATAGATAAGATATTAAGATTAAAAAATAAAATAAAAGTAGTTTGCCTTGCACTGACATTGACGTTTTTACCGTGTTTTCCAACTTCTCTTAACATGCACAAATATATAATTCTGCCATGTTTCCTACCTTACATACACTTATGAAAATTCACGCCGCACTCTACCAGTTCAGTGCAAGGTTTCTTTTTTACAATGTTTATTTCACGATATCCTTCACATACAATTCTATAAAATAAAGGTTCTTAGGATGAAGAGAAAGTTGCAGCAGCAGCATGTGCTGTCGGCAACATATCTCTTTAAATGACCCTAGCTGTTGATAGGACGTTAATCAATGCTAAACCAATCCTGCAGTTTACCCAATAACGCCTCTATTTTCACAGCTAAAGCAAATACAGTTGGTCTGTCTTTTGATGAAATTAAAAAGAATGAAATAAAAAAGCAATAATCTTCTCTGACTCCTTATCACTACTACAAAGTGTTAAAAACATAGAACATTAACAAAATTCTCATTCAAAAATTTCTCTTCTTATTAACAGGATTTTAGTGTTCTGCCACCTGATCATAATTTGGATACCCGGTCATGTCGGAATAAATGGAAATTAGAAAGAGATAGGGCTGCTAGAGCTGCTCTTGACCTACATCCAAAAGGTATTATTACAATTCATTCTTACGTGGGATCATGTTAACAAGTACGACAGACCGTAGAGAGGAACATGCTCTCTCACGATTGCGCATATGCCATTCCTACGTCATACATAGTTACATTTTACGTAAAGAAGTCCAGCCTTATTGCCATGCATGTGATCAGCTACTTACAGTCAAACATTTTATGATGAATTTCAAATAAAAAAGTGACAGATTCTTTAATGGATCACCTTTGAAAAGTGTATTTGATATAATTTCTAATCAACCAAAATATGATTATTTACACTCTTTTGAGTTTTATATTAAAATCTGATATATTTTACAATTTGTTTTTCACTGTTGATATATTTTTGTTTGTATTCATTTCCAGGAGTGTCTATGGGCCATAAAATAATACAAAACGAACAAACAACCAACCTTACACATATGTAAAACTGTGCTTCTGTTCTTTCCTGATACACATGTACATCTACTTATTGACCTGCCACACATCTGAAGGTATGCACATATTTAAGCTGATACTCAACTTTAATCCTATCACTTATCTTACCCAATTATAAAGTTGCACCACTTAATAACCCAAATACGAACAACCTGTTCCCTAAAATCACAGAACTATCACCTACTTTTAACTGGTACGCTATTAATTGCCACATATGGTACATTTGTACATGGAACCTTCGCTACTCTAACAGATATTCCGTCAGTTGACCCCTTTTCTAACGTATTCTGTTGTTCACGTATACTACCTAATACAAAGATTTAGGTGTGTCCACTATTCCCATTGCTAATGCTTTCTCTACTACACTTTACACGAAAGGGTGTAAATCAATGTCGGTTATCGAAGTCCTCACCAGTGCACACTCCAAAGACCTTTCCGCAGAGGTTGTCTTTACAGTTGGAAACGCAATCCTGTTCACATCTGTCGCCATGTTTCTCTGGAAAACAGTCTGAAATGACAATAATAAAGAAATCGACACAATCACATAAAAAATCTATTTTTTTCTCTCTTTAAGTGTTAATTTCGATTTGTACGTCAATATTGAAAACCCGTGTGTTAAAATAATTGAGGTTTACAACCATTTTTTATTTTGCCGGAGTAACAAAAATATGACAAATAATTACTTACCAGTCATATCACTTTTTACTATTCTCGCTGAGTCTTCCCAGTAAAGCACGAATACTCATATTAAATAATAATAAAACACTGCGGACAACGTCAACGTCATTTATAAATTGAATTTTCATAAGCCGTTACTAACGAACACTGGTCATACATGTACCACAAAGTTATCTTAATAACGACATATATATAACATAAATATAATAACGAAATACTATCTCGTAAGAGCGGCTTATTATCTCCTAAAAACGATATAATTATCTCATAATATCGACCTCCTTTACATCTGTCGTACTTATGAAAAAGATTTGTCATTATAATTCCTACATTGTCGTAATAACGAAAGAGCTATTATGTATTACGAGCTAGCTATGTTGTTAATACGACACAACTTTTTTTCTTCTCGCTGACACTAAACAGCTGCCGTACGTTATACTCGAAAGGAAGAATAGACAATGAATAATATCAAATATTGACCTTCATTACGAAAATAAACCCAAAAAACGATTTTGAAATGTTTATATAATTGACTGCTTTAGTAAACACCTTTTTGTAAAGGCAGTTCTAATTAATATTTACTACATTTACCTACCAATCACAAATATATCATGTTGATAATATAAGCAACTTACAGAAACAAGACCCGTTGGCGGCATTGCAATTTCCTCCATAACAGTCCCCCGGACATGGCAGAGCACAATTGCCTTGTCCATACATTTTTATTGGGCATCCTTATAAACGATAATTAATCAATACATTTTAATTCATATTACGGTTAATATATTTTCGTACATGTATACCTAAATATATAATGTTGCAATCTTTGCTTGACAAAGGAGAAAGACGTTTCGAAAGCACGGGAAGTAAGTGTTTAATTAACTCATTTTGTTCTAAACAAAGTTAGCATTAAATATGTATGGCACCTCAATAATTTAAGCAGCTTGGGGAATGGGGTAGAAATGCTTCTCCTATGAACATACACTTGTTCGGGGTAATAATTATTAAAGTAAATTATATCTTCAAGTGCGTTAACGGGATTTTAATGAACGAAAGTTTGTTTATCATTTTTCAGCTATCATGCATCAGTTTGTAGTAGAAATCGATGTTTGATAAATGCATGTTAATTAACTTTTCAGGATATATATCATATTATGTAATTCCACGAATAAAAAAATGATTTCTGCATGTCAAAAATTGTGCAGGTTTTTATAGAAACACAATATTCTTACTCACCAAAAACAAGAACCTCACATAGCTCCAATATAGCATATGTTGAATACCAATGATAGCGCTTTGTTGGGGTGTTCCTATAGTTGTAAATAGTCACGTACTGAGCTACATGTTGACACTGATGAGATTTTACAGTTGCTACCTCTGCAACTGTAGTACTAGCATCTTCGTAGCACAGCTGGCCATTGTTCAAGTCAGTAGTGTTTGACACAAATATCTGGTAACCAGCAAATCTACTTCCATAACCAGCTGCATAAAAGGAAAACATAAATCTTCAATAAATATGTCAGACACAATGTCAACAAAAGAATTATTATCTATAATCGATTCGTGTTTTCGGTAGTATTTCACTCTGAAATTGTATTGAATACGTTAACTTTCCATTATACAACCACCAAATTAATCCAAAGACAAGTGAAATAATAAAAACAAATGTTTTGCTTGGCATTGCCTATCGTAATGGCTATTGTAATGCTCACATTGACCTTAACAACCTTTAACTTTTACGTTTGTGTTACATTGAATATAAGTAAAAAATGTATTGATATCCTACATCTACACGTCCTGCTGCAGATACATTTTGCGAGAACTTCAGTTTATAGTTTATGGCATGTTATGAGTATCAAAGCCAAACAAGGTTTCCAATTGTTGCCCAACTTGCTGATGCAATCGCGTTAGAACTGGTTGTATTACTGGTCGTCGAGCCTTTTAACTGGATGCAGAGTCTATTTCGTTTCTGTTGAAATCATGTGGCCTGTTGACTATAGTAGTGTGACCGTACAACGCACCAAAAATAGCTTGCACACATCGTCCGCACATGGTGCACACCTCGTACACACATCGTCCTCACATGGTGCGCACAACTGTGCGATTAAACAATCTTTCGCCCCGTTGTGCGCTTCTCTCCGCACAAATGTGCGATTAGGCACGATGGGTTGATCAATATTACACAATGAGAAACGAATCCGGAAGGTTCGTATGAAAAAAGTACATTGTATATTAATTTCTCTTCGCAATAATAAGATGATGATCAAGTTTACAATGCATGTGACTGTTAGCTTGCCAAGAATAGGCTTGGCTCCCAGGTAACAGAACAGGTAAATGACATTTTGATGAGTGACCGGAGTTGAACTAATCTATGAAAATACAACTGAACGTTCTTTATTTGTTAATTGCATTCGTTTTGGTGCAAAATTGCAGAGATACCGGTCCTGGCGGCTGTAGTACAACAATGTCGTCCAGACTGCGGCTGTTGTTAGACATTGCCTGTCTTCCGTAACACTCATATGTCTTCAGATGATAGACGCGATTAATAAAAAAACGACTTGAAATGTACAGAATGCGCCACCATTCAGCATACGTGTCCCCCTCAGAAAACACATCCTCAGAAATACACTTAGTGAAACGTCTATTCTATTTTTCACACCATTAGTATACGCCCGACAAATACAGATTTACTTTGTGATGCACATGTACACGACTCTTTCTATATTTCAAGGGTATGTCAGTAGAACAATGGGTACATATATTAATATATTTTAAGGCAAATTTACAAATCTTATTATGACTAATTATGTTATGTTAACATCTACAAATTAATCTTTCAGCAAAAGCAAATAGCGTATACTACGTGTATTAACTTACCCCTGTAATATATTGTAATGTAGTTGATTGTGCTCGGCTGCCCCAAGTTAACCGTCCACCAGGTTGTGAAATGACTATTGTCACTAGTATGTCCACACTTTCCGCGTTGATTGGTTTCTCCGTCCACCGCTGCACTCGCGGGCCAGTTTACGGGGTCATAATTGCTGCTGGTATCCACTTGTTTGCGAAGAGCAATGTTATCTGCCAAATTAGATTTAAAGTGATGTATAACATGGCTTATTGATATATAGTACATAGTGATTGATAGTAATGGCACGGTGGCTCTTACTAAAGAATGCATTACTCTTATCTTTTGTGTTTAAAAAAATCACGGAAGATCATTGGGGTCGAGTAGAAAAAATTAAAAACGAATTCGTTTGTTGTTGTTGTCCACTTGAAATTCGATTATTAACTCGAAATTTCGACTTATGAAGAACTCAAAATGTCGACTTACTGACTTGGAATTTCGAGAGGCTTACTCGAAATTTCAACATACGAACTTGATTCATAAGTTTGAAATTTCAAGTAACTAGTACACACACCAAAAAAAATTACGCGGCTTTCATGCTCATTCGTAGGAAATACATTTTGCACAAGATATAAAAAATAGCTCTGCAATCCATTTAACATCAATTATCTACACAAATGCTGTAAACAAACTTTTTTGTAAACAGATGAAAGTTCTAGCAACAAAAGCAACTTAAAAGAAAACGCAAAATAAATATTTGTTTTTTTTTAAAACATGCACAACGGTCATTGTTGGAATCCATGTTAAGGTTCTCGTTATTACTGTTGCCATAATCAAATGCTTTAGCATTAAAGAGGATGCCAAGGGATTGACTATTTTTGATTATTGGTTAAAAATAACGTTATCAAACCGTAAGAATTTTAGTAACCGGTTACTCGAACAGTCCTACGACCGAGTACCTGCTTAACCATCAAGCTGGAAAATCAAACAATAAACAAATACATCTTTGTTGTTTAGCAGATACATGTCCTACTGAAAAAGAAGCTGAATTTTTACTTTCTTTTCAAAAGTAAAGTCTATAATTTGCTTCGTAAAAACTTTTTAATAATCACTATTGACCTTCCTGGATACAGAAATAGTATTACGGAACTATGTGATCTAGGGATATTTTTGTGTAACGCCTTTTATATTGGGTCACATAATATCTTGTCTTTGAAATGAGATGAAATGATGTAATTCTATATCAATTTATGACTTGAGCTTGACTATTTTATCGTTATGTATGGTGCACACTAAATGCACTGTAATAATAAACAAGCTGTATTTTTAACAATGATAAAGAGATGGAATCGGATAATTGTGGGAACAATGGACGAATGATTGTGCGCTAGCGATCGCGGTTGATGTAAATATAGGAATGGCTCAACAATAAATACGATTTCGTTTTTTTTAAACATGTATACAGGTTCAATGATTGGTTAATAGTAGCATATGGGACCTTAACACGTAAACAAATTACTTACACACTTGTGAAGTGTGGAAGTCATTTCTCCCTGTTCATATTTGCATGAAAACTGGACAATCCAGATTCAACCCTATAATTCCAAACATTATCAATGGGAAGAAGAACAAAAAACATTACGGAAACAGGAAATACATGTGCTCACCGTCTTACAGTCATGATAACACGGACACAGGTGTACATTTAATCATGACCTTACAGTGATGATTACACGGACAGAGGACATTCATGTGCTCACCGACTTACAGTAATGATCACACAGACAGAGGACATACATTTACTCATGACCTTACAGTGATGATTACACGGACAGAGGACATACATGTAATCACCGCCTTACAGTAATGATAACACGGACACAGGACAAACATGTAATCACCGCCTTACAGTGATGATAACACGGACACGGGATACACATGCAGTCATCGCCTGACAGTAATGATAACACGGATATAGGACAAGCATGTGCTCACCGCCTTACGGTAATGATAACACGGACACAGGACATACATGTGCTCACCGCCTTA